AACTCAAATGACTCAGAAACCTGATGGTTTGAAAATAAAAGCTCCTAGAAATGCTCATTTCCAACCTTTCCTGTGCCACTTGCACAAGAAACTTTGCGTTCCCCTGGCTACTTTAGAGGGAGAAAGAGACCAGCAAGCAGGGAAGGATCCACGTCTGACAGCTAACAAGGGCTCCCCCCCTCCCGTAGGTCACACATCAGAGGTACCCAACAGGTTTGGCCAACCACCCCTGCAGCTCACAACCCCCATGCACAGCGGTTTGCCTGTAAAGGCCGGCATTAACACCTTCACTTGGTACCCACAACAGCATCCGAGTATCGGGGATTACAGCAAGTGCCCAGATGCACACGGAGCAACTGGCGTGTGTAGGGTGGCAAAGGCAAAAGCCTTCAGAAGTGCCACGAAGAACCAGAAACAGCTTTCTCCTGCCATTTGCTTTCTCCTGGAAACATGCTCCGACAGCCCCGTTCCAGTGGAACATGTAAGCTTGGGAGAAAAACGGTTTCCCTGGATCTGGACACCACTACGAGACAGGAGAAAAACCACCACCCACCCCCAAAGTCTCATTACAGACCTGCTCCATAGACCAGAAGAAATTCCACCGTACCCATCTACTCCTGAAGGCAGGGAAGAGAAACCTGCCGGCTCCTTCTCCCGAGGCCTCGCTGGGCAGTCGGGATACAGCCCCCTTCCAGGAGCTTTTACATAGCTGGGGACTGGAAGGAGCCCCACGGCTCTCCATCGGCAGTCAGCGTGTAAGGAAGTCTCCAGATAAGCCCGCATAAATGGTCAAATTATCAACAAGATAAGTTGAGAAGGAGAAAAAAAAAACCAAAAAAAACCCAGAACCAAAATAAACTATGGCACCTCTCCCCACGCGAGCGCTCTCTCGTTAGAGAGCACACGCCTGGAAATGGGGTCTGGTCCGTGGCAGCAGCCAGGGCTACCCCCGCTTTGCACCTCAAGCTTAAAACTGGTGGTGGGTTCACACCGCTGCCGAGCCCAACCTCCTCCCTCGGAACCGGTAGGACATTCTTCCTCCCGGGCATGTGCAGGCCTGGGTTTGGTTTTGTTTTAAAGTCTCATTACAGTCAACGACCAACAGCTAAAGGAATTCTTGCACGCAGACGTTAGACTGAGGTAGTACAGTCTGAATTACTGACCTATAAACACCACTGCGGCTATTTGGGGAGCGCATTGTCTAAAGATTCTCATTTAAATCAATAGAATAGAAAAACTAGAGCCTTCCAAACCCATAGCCCAGTTTCATTACACGCTTCTGCTTTTTTGATTCAACTGCTGGAGCATCAGGAGATCCTAGGGGAAGAGGCAACCATGTTTACAGCTCAATATAGAGTACATATAGCCACAACCAAAGCACCCCCCGAGCCGTACGATCGGAGATTTATGGAAACCAAATCCTCTTGCTCAAGGGCAGTCAGTCAGCCTGGTACAGCTTCTTGCAGTAATAATGGCAGAAGGGTATCAGAAGTTATCCAACCAACATTTATTCTGGTTTGGAAGTTAACTGGATAAACCGGACACGCTCGCAGATTGACTGCATGACCTGCTCTCCCCGCAGTTAATTAATTAAGCCAACAGCAACGCAGACTGCCCTCGCATCCCAGGGGTGCAAGCCGACAGCGAGGGGGAACAACCCCCTCCAAGGAGGCGCGCAGTCCTCTTCCGTCCCTAAGGAGCCAGCCTGGAGCCACAGCAGGGCTGGGCTCGCCAGAATAGAGGGAACGCTGGCAAAATAGCTCAGAGGAATTGATGGAGGCAAGAGGCGCAAGCCGGCTTTGGCGCCTCGGAAGCTGTGTTCAGGTCAACACCGCTTCCAGCCTTGCTCTAACTTACTGCTGAAAAGTCGAGACAACCAAATACCCGCTGTCACACGTGTCCGAGAGCAGAGTTTTAACCAAATTCAACGCAGATACTTCAAAATGCAGGAACACTATATTTATTAGGTCAATATTTCATTTTAGCAATACAGTTACAGAATATCACAATGCTGGTTACAAACATAGTATGGTTTGATGGTTACAAACGATGTCGGGCACTGCAGTCTGGGAGAAGGAGGGTACGAAACGTTAGTCCTGACACGACACGTAGGGTGGTCTTCAAAGGCCAGTAATGACCAAGATACTCTCATAGAAATGAACGTGGCACTACAGGTAGAGATTCTGGTTTAGAGGTGGTTTTTGTGTAAGTAGTTCGATTTATACAGTTATACAGTTCAAGCAACATCTTTTTTAAAATGCTATTAAATTAAAATCCCCTGTAGTTCAATAAAGTATAAAAATAGTACTGAACCTGGTAATATTCAATAAAATGTAGAGTTCATTCACATCATTAAGTAGTAAAGAAACTGTAAAGTTGTAGTTACCATGGCAACATCGCTTCCCATAAAGGAATATACATCAAGAAAAAAAAAAAAAAGTTACACGTATGGTACCTGCGACAATTATTTAGCGATCCAACACTGAACTTGTGCACCACAAACCAAGTTTCTAAATATCTCTATTTATTTATATAGTATATATCTTTTTAATCTTAAAATTTACTTTTTTTAAAAAAAAAAAAAAAATGTGCACTTCAACAAACCCACTAAGGCCACTCATGCTATAGATACCTAGGATTGCAATGAAATACTGTCAAACAAGACCCTAGAGCACGCACCTTTGTATCACCGAAGGGAAACCTGCTTCACTGCTTAGAACATTCCTGAGATTTAGGGACAAAAGCGTTACCGGTGCCGCCAATTTTTTGTACGTGGTTTAGTTTGTTTCTGGGTGAAGGAAATTTCTTCCCTGCTTCTCACAGAGATCCTGGCAAGGCCAAGGAACACAACGTGCGACGGGCCGGCCGCGTCGAAGACTGAAACACCCGCAACGAAGAGTCCGATTTGCAACTCACGGTTGGCCGGTAATTTTCTTATTATAAAACGTAAGGAAAAAGGGAAACGATGAGCTGTAGGTGAAATAAGGTTCCTGCACAGGCAGCAGAGGGAAGGATCGCGGGTTCAAGACCTCTCCCCCACGCTATCTGCTGCTCTCCTGCGAAGTCAAATCCGATCCATACAGATCGAGTACAGTTTTTGTCAACAGCGTCAATCATGCTTTAGGCACGCTGCGTTTTCCTTTGTGTCCTCTACCCGTACGTAGGGCTATCAAAAGGAAAATCGAGTCAAATGGGAATTTTTTTGTACCATGAGAAGCAGCACAACGGCACCTCTAGCAAATTTCAGACAGTTAAAGAAAAACTTCATTTTTCAAAGTTACAAGAGAACATCCTTGTCCTAATAAGTTAGAATTCAACAAAAACCCTTCAAAGTTATTTAACAAAAATTGTGTGCAAAAAGAAAAAAAAAAAGTCTTAAACAATAGGTATTGACACAGAGCAAAGAGTGCACGCGAAGCCGAGGATACCGAGGCAGACGCTTACTGGTTGTAATTAAGATCACGCTATAGAAGTGACCAGACAACTGTTTGGGGCCAAGCAGTCACTAGTTGTTGTACTTGAAGTAGCTGAGGGATGGATTTATTGTCAAAGAATCCTTCCACAACTTCCCCTCCCCCTTTTGCCAGCTCTTAGAAAAAAAAAAAAAAAATAAAAAAAAATAAAAATCTTTGTGTGCCTTTCCCCTGCCACAAGCCATCCAGAACAGCCCATCCTAACAGCGGAGGAATCCTGACATCACCTCCCTCCCGACTGCAGCGTTTGCGTAAAACGGGACGTACAAATGGCCGAGACAACCAACCTTACGCTGAAAACAAAGTAGGAAGGGTTTAATTTAAACAACAGTTAAAATACTTTTCCTTAAGGTGACACCTGTCCTCACCGCTTGCATCCAATTACTCCGGTGCGATTAAGTTACTTACCTTCAAGGAATAACTCGGGGGACACCTTTCACTGGGTTCCCCCCCCCCCCCGGTCTCCTTTTGCAGTCGGGTATTTGAGCCTCAGGGGGCCGGAGCTCTCCCAGCGCGCGCGGCTAACGCACAGCCCCCCCCTCCCCAGTACCGACACGCCCACGCGTATGGAAAACCTGCGCCCCGGGGTGCAACGGGAGGGGGGCTCCCCAGTTCTGCCTCTAAGGGGAGAGAGGGAGGCACGGGGCTGCTGAGGGCAAGCTCTGCCCAGGGTGGGGGATGCAGGGGATTACACCCCCGCCCCTTTCGCTCTGCCTGCTGCAGAAGTCACGACATACTGAAGCCATGCTACAGGATCTACTCCGACCACAGTGGCACGGAGGGACAAGTCACCCACCTTCCTCTCAAGTCATCCGATTGGCCTCCTACTTGCTCAAAAATATCAAACTGTAACAGCAGAGACAGTAACAGTGACGAATGACTAACGCCACGACACTTCAGAGCCTCCAGAGGCCAACACGGACATCCGCCGAGAACTGAACTTAGGAGAAACAGGACCCAAACCTAGCAAGATCAGGTTTATGTTATGACACGGAGAATAAGCGTTACATCTGCAGCAAGGACAGCACGAGGGGAAGGTTCCAAGCTCCAGCACGCAGGGCAGGCAAGGGAGCATTTTGTAGGCAGCTGCAAAGTCGTTCCACAACCCTCCCGCGCCCTAACAACTTCAGCTATCGGCCACAGCTACCTTTCTCCAGAATTTACGTGCCTTGGCATGACTGGAGCTGCAGAGATGCTACAATGAGAAGTTCAACCCAAGAGTCAAGTCGGGATTTAATTCAGTCACGTGAAGAGCACGCTAGTAGTCCCACAAGGATCACTGCAACTACTCCTGGCCAAGTCACATTTCTTGGCCCAAGTCCATTATCAGAGAGAACTGACTGGGTGACTTTTAGGACCTTAATTCCTTCCAGACAAGCCAATGCACCAAAGTTTGTAACATTCTGGTGAAGAAGCTTTAGGAAAGAAAGAAAAAAAAGTACCTCCACCCAGCAAGACTTGAGCCTAAAGCTACCGATTAAACGAACTGAACCAATGCATTTGGTTACCAGACAGAAGCGTGACGCCTCGCTAACCTGCCCCACGCTGGAAGCTCTCCTGGTTGCCCTAACTTGAAGGCAAACCATGAAACCCATACACAACCCACAGCTGAAAGAACAACAGTGGTTCACAGAGACAGCTTTCACTGGTATCAGTCAAGTAATGCTCCTCATCCCAAACACAAAACCTCGAGATCTTTGAGATTCCTTAGTCAAAGGCTGGAAATGGAGACCCAAGACTGGAAGCCCTGAGCAAATAAACGGTCTCCAGATAACGTAAGTGTAAATCCATGTACCCAGCTCAAAGCTTTTAAATGCTTCTGCAGCACAGAAGTTCCACAGCTTCTTTGGGGCAATTTTAAGCGCACCTTCCCTGCCTAAAGTTCTGACACTAGTATTACATACTTTATTTAATTTTAAATAGTTTTAATAGGACTTAAGATTTTTGTAAGAACTTTGTAATTCATCAGTGCCCTGCTGCAGGGGCATTCAGGGGTAAATACGTTTTGCCTTGCAGAGAGCCAAATTTGATTGTAGTACCTAAAGCAGTCCTAAAGAAAAATAGCTATAAACACATTAGAGTTCAAATCCACGCATGATTTTAAGTTGGATTTTCACTGAACAGCCATTGAGGATGTACTGCAGTCTAAGTCTCGATACCACAGGGGTTTTTAATGCAAATACTCCCTTACACACCAGTGAAGATATTCCGAGTCTGCGGTCATTGTATCTGCATTCCCTAATTCCGTAACTGCATTTTAAAGTTGATATTATTCAGCCTTTCCCCCAAAATATACTTGAAGGCACCAGTACATGAACTATTGGCCTGTAAAATTTCATTCTTAAAGAGAGCCATTAAGCTCAAAGTCGCGTCTGAAATTTCTATTTCTTCTCTGCACTCTTTCTCCAAGACCAACGAGCAGCTTTCCCTGTCCCAAACTTCACAAACAAATTAAAAAACCAGACCCCAAATGAAACAGCCAGTCCAAGTCCCGTAGGACCGGCACTTGCTGAGCCTCGGCTCGGACTGACCTCCCACAGCCAAGTTACAAACCCCTGAAAATAGGGGGGGAAGGGAAAAACCCCCAACCTGACAGAATCCTAACTATAGGAGCACTGTTTGTGCTGCTATAAGAAGAACTGAGGTAACAGCAGTGAGTTGTTCCTAGTTTGCTATGTTACACAGACTTTCGAATGAGTATTACCTCAACATTAAAAAAAAAAAAACAACAAACCAAAACCAAACACAAAACCACAAAACCAACACCCAAACCAAAACCCCACGCATCCAAGCAGCCCCCGCAACAGAAGAAAAAAAAATTAAGACAAGCTAGTGAGATAGGCATTGTTATAGATCTTTACAGCTGACTTCTGCTTTTTAAATTAATATAAAGGAATCGGTTTCTGGTTGTACTATCGTTTAATGTAGAAATGAAGCATCACAAAAAAAAGACCTGTTGTGCTTTTTGGCATTTTCCGCTGACCCCTGCAAACTGTACAATAAGTTGTGTTCTCCAGAAACATAAAATTGAACTGGATTGTAATACAAAACTATTAACTGGTATAAACAAGTTACTGCCTCGATTATTAGAGTAAGCCCATTCAAAAAGGAAAAAAAGATGGCTGCAGCAAAGAGTCAAGCGTTTCTAGTTTTTGCTCGTGGCATCGACATTAATATTTGTATAAGCTTACTAGGTAAAGACATGCCATCGCAACCGCTAAAGAACGTTCACTTCCTAGTTTTGTATCTATTACATGAATATAATTTTGCACTGATCATACATCTAAATGAAATCATTCTACTGTAAAAGTGAATGCAGGGGCAGAAATATTAAATTAAAGCCACTGGTCCAAAAAAACCTGTTTCTAGCAGGCTGGTCCACTTTTGATTTTCCTGGTCCTGTTCAGAAGATTAGCACTCTTGGTTGGTACCAAAGGAAGCTAAGCTTGCTGGTCTACTGGATCTTCTGTCGCTTATAGATGAACACTGGTCCAGTTCAGGAGATTAAAAACAACGGTGGTTGTTTTTAAAATTGTAAAAATACGGTGGTTACTTGCTTAACAACCTATGGCGGTTCACCAGGAGTATGTTGCTCTCCGGAGTGGTTCTTTGCCACTCTACTTCGTAAGGCAGCAGCCAAGGCTAGGGCATTCTCCCTTTTCTTGATTTTTACGAGTAGCTTTGCTACAATGCATACAGTAGAAAGACCTTTCTCGGGTAACTTCTTACAGTACGGCATTTATTCGTTCTATATATCAGAAGAAAGCTCTTGGTGAAACCTTCCGTTCATAATAAGAATGCAACTCTTTTGAACTCAAACAGTTTTATTTAATGTTTTCTTGCAGACTTTCTGCAAAGTAGCTTCTTTCGAAAGAAGAGAGAAAGGAGGAGTTTTCGGGAATACCAAGTTAAAAATGTGAGCTGAACTAAACATGCCATACACATGCTGATAAGAATTTAACACACATTCGTCCGTATGGGCACTCTTCAGCAGACTGGACCAGTGTTTCAATGCAAATTCCAGCCCCCAGAGAACTACATGGTTTAGATTTCACAGTATGACTTCTCCCCCTGTAACCTGGGGGAAAAAAAAAAAAAACCTTAACTGGTTAATTGACCGAGTTCTTAGCTACTCTGTCCATCAACGTTCTGAGACATCAGAAAAGACTGGACCACTTCTTCAGTGGATTGAGGGCTGGTGCTTACGTCCTCCAGGGCATCTGTGACCGAGAACTGCCGATCCCGCAACCGGTTCCAATTGGCCAAAATATTGTGGTATTCAAAAACTTTCTCATAATTGCCAATGGAATTGTACAGTTTAATGAGACCTCTGTAATCGTATTCAAGTCCACTGTATCCTTCACCAAAAAGCTTTTTTCCTAAAGAAATCCAAAAGAAAACAAAATTAAAAAGGTAACCCACCCATGGCTTGCACCTTACTTCTCATGTCATTTGCACCAGCAACACGAACCTTTTTGTCACAGCAAATCATCGCGGTTTTGTTACAGTAAATCAAGACAAGCAACATGCAAGCTTCCTGGATGACGGTTTGAATTCTGTCTACCTTTTCCTTTAACAGTGTTGTAGCTTGTCCTCCAATCAGATCCTTAATTGTACCACAGCTTTACCTGCGTAAAAATCTACCAGTCGTATAAAGGCGGCAGACATTTTCTGTCCCAATCTCACTCCAAATTCAATTTAAACAGTGTTTTCCAGTTTTCTACTTCAAAGTCAAATGTTTCTGTAAGGCACTGTACTTGATAACTGTACGACGTAGATTGTCTGTCTCAAGACTGAGCTACAGCTTGGCCCAAAGATGCATTTGATTTGGAATTACAACTTGACTGCAAATGATAATGGGCAAAAAAATTAAATATTTAACAAGGGCACGGTTAGGCCGACAAGCACGACAGTTTTCCATTTCTTTCAAAGTTTAACTACGTTCTGCACCTAAGTTCTAGCCCCAACTCCAAAATGTAGTCTAAAGACTAACACCCAAGCTTTTAATTTTACCCAAGCTTTCCAGGTGCTTTCTAGAGCGAGTTCTGATGCAGCACTGAAAATACTACAATTCCAGAGTTCAGTCCCTGGGAGAACATTCAACAAAAAGCGTCACGTTTCGACCGAACACACATACACGATAAACATCTTGCACGTCATTAAGTTCTTTACTAAAAATTCTAATATGCTTTTAAAATAATGCTTCCTGTAGTATTAAACTGCTATAAAGTCACACGTTGTAAGAATCACCTACCAATCGCTATGGATCTCAAATAAAGCTTTTCAGCGTTTTCGTATTGATTCATATCATAGTTATAGAGAGAAGCTAGATGGCCCACTGACAGGGCAACCTCATAGTCTTCTTGACCCAGAAGCTGCTCCTTAATCTGAATTGCCTTGATGTGCATTTCTTCTGCTTCCTATGGGGATCAAATTCACATAGGTCAGTCAGACACCACTCACCACGTCATATTAAAAAAGAGAGAGAGAGAGAGAGAGAGAGAAAGAGAGAAACCAGGAAGGTTTAAAGGAACAGAACTATGCTGTGACTCAACAGCCTGTAAGATTTTATAAAAGGCAAAAAGAAAGCCAAAACTGAATCAAGTTCTCCAAATTCTTAGTTAAGTGGATCAGCAAACAGTATCACTTCTACCGTCAAAACTGCTGTCACCCTGTCTCTGAAAGCATCGTGCATCTCAGTAGATCAGCTTGGCACAAAGCTTTGGAGAGATGAGTTATAAAGCACAAGTTTTTCAAGCACAAACCTACCAACTGAAGTTACAAACTGTGGAGGCTGAAAATCACCATTTGTCGTGACATGATTTAGAGATACCTTGCAGATTTTAAGTCAAGACCCTGACATCAATATCAGCTTACCTTAAACTTTCTCATGGACTGATACAGTCTTCCAAGGTTGCCATAGTGTTTTGCTGTTTGTACATTAAACTCCCCGAAGGCTTTTTTAGCTAACTGGAGTGAGGACAGATGCAAGTCGTGAGCTTCTTGAAGTAACCTCTGCTCAGTTTCCTTGTTGTGACAGTCTATTGCAATCTCCTCCAGGATAAGTGCTGAGTACAGGAGAGAAAACACACAACATGACTGCATTCCAAACACAGAGAGATGTTAACTGCAGGTAGCAGAAAGCAAGGTATCTCGGGAGACATCTAACCAGGCTTCGTGTTTATTACAAACTGTCTTCAAACAAGTATGACCAGGTATCAAGCTCCCAACATGTATTTTTATAGTCTCTATTTTTACTCCCCCCGCCCAAAACAAAAAGTCTTTAGGTTAAGTTTTAAATAATTTTTTTGTTTGTTTTTGACAAGCGTGTTGACAGAGAACACTGAGGACTACAAAGAATACTCTGGACTGACCTCCATCTGAAAAAAACCTCAAGTTACATTGCCTCTGTTACAGAACAGGACAAACCCATCAAAATGACTGACTTCAAGCTGTCCCAGGAACGCAGTTACGGGTACTACCTTTAACTCTCTTTGAAGACGCCAAGAGAAGATGGTCTTCTGGGAGGATGTGAGTTATAATGCCAATAGCACGTTCAGCGTGGAATCTGAAAGAGTGGAAGTAAATTCAAGATACGTGTATTTGAGTTAGCAGCTGACTGATAAAATATTGGAAACAGTAATGCAATAAATATGCATTTAAATTCTAATTGGAAAGTCTGTACCATTTAAGAACATTTTTCTGCATTTACAGTACTAAATTTGCTGCCAGTACGTCAAACAATTGTACTTACAGTGCATTGTCAAATTTTCCAGAGCTGTACTGGTGAACATACGAAGAGTAAGCCAAGTCTTCATGAGCTGTAGCTACATGTATGTTTTTACCTCCAAATACTGACTGCCGGATATCAAGAGCTGTCTGAAAGAGTTACAGGAATACCATTTCATCGGTTAATACAGAAAAACCCCCTCATGAATGTGTCTCAGTGTTAAAAAGGGGGGGAAAAAAAAAAAAGTAAATCTATTGGCTCTGAAATTCTGTAGGCCTGCACCTACATACTTGAGACAGTAAATATAAAAAAGCCACTTAAGAGTCAGGGGGTAAAAAAAACCAGCAAAACCCCATAGCTGGGGGTGGGGTTTGTTTTGTGGTTTGTTTTTTTTTTTAAAAAAACAAGCATTGCAGCGATTAAATCACGCATCAGCTATCTCTACGAATTAACTGTATGTGAGTCCCAGCAGAAACATCAGAGAGATTATGAATATCAAGAAACTGAAGACAGACATTTAGCCCTGCTGCATACCTGATAGATTGCAACAGATTGGCATATATTGTCTACGTTGAGCAAGTAAAATCCATAGTCTAGTAGCGTATCGGAATATTTGGGGTGCTTGGCTCCAAAATGCTCCCTGTAGAAACATACTTCTATTACAAATCGAGGCTAATTAAGCACAATTTTAAAAGGATTTTTTTGGAATGCTACTTACCGGGCAAGGTATACTGCGTGTTTTATCAGCTGTTCAGCCTTCTTAAATTCACGTTTTACAACGCAAGCCTAAACAGGTTGAAATGAAGGATGTGAAAAGGTGTGTACTCAGAACTCGTTTCCTCCAGATTCTGGCCCAATAGCTAACTACTATTTTTAATTTCAAAATATCACCATGGTTACTAAAGGACTCTCCAGTTATTTAAGAAAAGGTTCACAGATAACATTACTAAACTTGTATTTTATTCTGCCATAAGTGCCAGTACTGTACCTAGTCTAGATCGAACATGGGAACAGACCTTTTTATCGAATGCTCTCAGGTTAATTTTGTCGTGATTTTCATTTAAACAGCTATAACTCAAGTTTCAGGAAGAAGGAAAAAACCAAAACCCTCACAGGTCCGAGACTGGGGTGGACCAATTAAACATGAATAACAAGCTGTAAGGCTCACGAAATGGACCTGCTTACCCAAGCGTTCTGGAGGCACTACCTATCCTCACCCATTCTTGGCAGAATTTAGTTACAAAAGAAACATGGAAGATTTTAAATTCACCTTTGAAGCTTGTCGTAAAACATCCACTACTACTTTTACAGGCAGGCCAACCGTGATCTCCTTCATAGCTTCTATACACCATTTATAAGCCTGTTGAACAGAGTTACCAACACAATGAAGCTGGAACTTTGCTACGTTGCAACATTAAGAAAAATATTACTTGGCTCTGAAAAAGAAACTGGTCATTTACATGACGAAGTTTAAAAAATTCTGTTTAATTGCTTACGTGTAATGAAACTTGTTCAGCTAAGTCTTAAAAGACAGACTTAAAAAGCCCTCTTAAGGTTAACACTGAATGTGTAAGTATTTTATACTAGCCTGAGTTCTGTATTGTTACAATGACTGTATTACCTCTTACAGACAAAAAAAAGGGGATTTTATAACCTTTAAGTAATCCTCACAATTCCTACTGCGTAGGACAGCTTCCTGGTCAGTGGACTTAGGAACTAAAGGAAAACTGCAGTGTATACAGCACTTACACTTAAGTCACAGGTTTTTATAAAATATGCGCAAAGAATTGTTACCTACATTCTACTATTCTTTTTTACCCATCAAAATCAGCTTTCTGTAGTATTCTATTTACAGATTGGTAGTATGTGTTGGTTATCTACCACACATCATTTCTTAATGTTGGACAAAGTTCCATTAAGAGCTCGTAGACTAACCCAGAACAACACAGAACAAGAAGTCGATAAATCAAGTATTCCTCTGGTACTGTCACACAGGTACCAGAAGAGAACAGCAACTCAGCCTGAAAGATAACGTGAGTGATGAGCCAGTCACAGAACGTCCTAGCGGATTTCGTAACCAGTTTTCTGAAGAACAACAAACCCCAAATCCTACTCACCTCATCATAGTGGCTCTTGGCAAAGAGCAGTGCACACAGCTCGCCGTAGAGCGCTGCTTTGTTTGCCTGCTGACCATGTTTGGCGAGTTTGTCCATGTAAGACTGAGCGAGTTTGAACGTTTCTTCTCCCAAGTGATATTTACAGTTACCATTTCGAACATGCAGCAACCTTAGGAAGATACAAAGAGATCTTCTAAACAGTGTCTGAATAAATCATTTCAATATACAGCAGTACCATGGATCTACAGTTTGGTGTTATACTTACAATAGAACCGGGCTGTCATCCCAACAGAATTGCACTGTCTGAATTCAGTAACACAGAAGAACTATTTACAGAATATTGTTTCAATACACTTGTCTCTTGCAATGCAAGAATTTTTACTGTTGGAGATGTCAAATGATTTTACGTATTGATGCAGTTTTAACATATTCAAGGCTTGAACCACTTTGGTGTTGTGGCTTAGTTTTATTTTTCATAAAATCCATTCTTCTTCTGGTAAAATTCCATTTCCAAACCCCTGTAATATACAGTACTAATTCCCTTCTACCTCCTTTCCAAAGTACGGCAAGCTGAAACAGATACTGAGTAAGCACAGACACAGGTAGTTTTCATGCATCTCTGCACTTTTTCCTCAAACCTGTGAAGCACGGTGCTTCAGAAGCAGGCATTTTTTGGTTTGGGGGTTTGGTGAAGGGGGGTGTCTTCACAAGAGACTGAGTCGCATCCATTCGATGTGATCTCCAGCACGGACTTAGCACCACCAGAAAAGACCACTTTGTTGACCCAGTTCACAACAGCTCTAAAAAAACCTCTCACCCCGCCTTGCCCCGTCTCCTAAGGCGCTGCCTTTCCGTCGGAAGGATTAACAGAAGCTTCACAAAATGACAGCCAAATGCAGGCAACAAAACACAACTCTAGAGAAAGAAGAGTATGTTTCGGTAGAGAAGTAACAATTTCAGCTTCTGGCATCTATTTAAAACAAAAGTACAGAAGGTTTTTTGGTAAGTGTGAGCTGGTGCTTATTTACTTTGAAGAGATACATTAGGAATGTGTGAGTATCCTATTCCAAGCCTAAAGGGGAGAACTGTATTCCTACCCATTGCAGGCTCAGAAGAGACAGCTGCTCCTTCCCTACTGCAAATGCCTGCCACTCAGCGCACACGGAAATTTTGGTAAACTAACCTCCATTGTCCCTCCTGGAAATCTGTTACTAGACAATGAGTAAGAGAGATTGAAAAACGTCAGGCAAGCCTTTGCAAATCAGAAGTACAACATAACGCAGGAAGAGAAATACGCAGAGTGAAGCAAAGCAAAATTTAACACTCTATGGCAGACAGACTAAAACTCTCGTGATGCGAGCTGATGTCTAGGAACAGCACTTTACACCTTTTGTGATACGTTTTGATAAGTCTTCCAATAAACTGTTAAGATCGGAGGAAGGAACAGTGAGGTTTTTGATCAAGTGTTTCTCTTCTCTAAACCCAAATAGAGATTTTTAAGTTACTGCAGCTGTACCTCCTGCAATAGCAGTACGTTTGTTCTACGAATTCAGCCTGCCTCTAACACAGCCTCCTCCGGTACCTTCCTGTTGCAATGTGTCATGGAACTCAAACACTAACAAGAAAGGAAATAAAGTTCACATTTTCACAAGAAGGGCCTGGCAGGCAAGCACGCAGCAGATGTGTATTAGCCACACAAAGAGAAGATCAAAAGAAAAAACCTTCCAAAAAAACCCTGAACCGAGCTGCATAAACAAACACCAGCTTTCCAATGAGAAACACAGCAACATGGCTCAAGAACAGAAAGAAAAAAAAAGCAACGACCACATTTTTCCTTAAATAAGGTCAAAGAACTAAACATGATGTAGAAGTGCATCATGGTTTTGGTCACAGGCAGCAGAAAACCAATACTGAAGCAACAAGAGACAAGAATTTTAAAGAATCTAGAGAGAAAAAAACTAAGCAATTGCAGTTTCCCTAAAGAGGGAAACTATTTTGCCTACACGATTCAGCTGGGAGCTGCTATGCAACATCAAAAATACGAAGCCCAAATCCCATGTAATGGTATAAGCCAGTGGGGATAGCACTGCAGTTTAGATAAGCGCCTGGGAAAGATAATATCCAGTTTTTGGATGCCTCAGTGATAGTGTCTAAAACCAAAAGAAATCAACAAAAAACCCCAAGCTAAACCTAACCCAATCCTCTAGGATAAGCGCAGTTTATGTGATCCAGTTTTGAGTAACAAAGAAGTCCTTTATTAATGCAAAGGAATTTTAGAAGATAAAGCCAAGAGGAAGAATAAATGCCTTAGGACATTTATGCTAACAGCTATGAATCTCCTTTGATGTCTGCAATAATAGCTTCTGGGGAATAACTTCCCACCCCCCTGCTCAAATAAAATCATTCTCCAAGAGCTTACAAACATAGCAAACGCAACATTACACAGCAGCTTAGGAAGTCTTAAAAACATCAGGAAAAAAACCACCCAAGAATCAGCAAAATGTGAAACAATGAAGTGGGAGAACCATGTATTTGTAACACGTATTTGGGCCTTATTGGTTAACATAAAATAACGAGAGAAAGCAAACCCAAAAGGAGCTCAAACACATGCAGGGAAGTAGTAGACAAGCTTGTAGAAATCTCAAATCTTCACATTTTCTCAAAGTTTCTCCATATAATTTACTACTGCTAGTACAAAGAAACACCAAATTATGTCCACACACCCCAAAACTTTACATTATTAAAAACTGTATTCTATTAATAACGCAATATATTAAACGCCCAGAGATTACACTTCCTAGCTTTTTGAATGAGAAGAGCAACTTTTTTAAAGGGTGTCGTATTTTCAAAAGCTACACTTAAGTTTTGTTCTCTTAAAACTCTGCCTAACTCCAGTGCAAGCACAGCGGTAAGAACAAGATATTCTACAGTAGGGTTTACACAGCAACAACAAAAAGTTTATCTTTCTCCTGCCTGACTCTGCAGCGGAGTATAATTACTGCTCTCTCCCACAAAAAGGTTTTCACATTTTACATACTTAGCACTTCCAAAAGCGTTTTAAATTCTTTCTATTTGATATATTTCCAACTGAACAACGCCGCTGTTTGATTGTTTGGGAGATGCCTGACCGTAAAGCAGTGTCCTCTCATCCCCACTGTTGCCCAGAGGGACTTTGTGTTAGGGGCAGGCCACCCGCTTTCATTGCAAGAACAACGTCTGTCTCTACCCAAACAGAATTAACATCTCCAATTCAGAAGAGTTCATCCTAACACAGGATGTTTTTTCCTAGCACAAAATGAAAATCATCTTTCCGCAGCTGTGTGGGTTGTACGCTGTTGTCCAACAGGGAAGGAGTTACCTTTTTTCCCTTTCTTTCCCTTCTTTTTTTTCTATTTGGAGACGGGGAGGGAGTTTATCTTTAAGGCAGCTTCTCCAGCTTCCCAAACAGCCCAATACAACTAGGAAACTTTTTTTAGATTAATTAGAAGGCAAAGGACCACGTATGAGCAGTGGTACTATATCTATCATCCCCCAGTTCTCGGAAGGCGTACACACGTGCCCAGTCTTCTCCTGGCATCATCTTATTTCTGGAATGAAAGGCAGCAGTAGCTGGCAGGGCAGAAGGCGGCAGAGCAGCAGCCGTTGCCACAGCCCTCCAGTTGGCACACAAAATAAGAAGCTACTGGCAAAGCCCATTTACTCTTCATATTTGCCCAGCCATAAACAAGATTCAGGGGTTTTTTGGATCAGTTTTCCAAAACAAGTTTTGCCCTATATTCAGATAAATACAATAAATACTTTGTTGTTCATTACAGCAGCTAAAAAAAAAAAAGAGAAAAAAACCCAACCACGTGAACTATGCTCACTACAGACAGGTATTCAAGCATACAGCTGTAGCACACGAGAGGCCAGTCACCGTGTTACTGATGAAAACAACCTGGCTGCTTTCAGCAGGCTGCATCAGTCCAGCTCACATCTAGGGTACACAGACCAAAGAGCAGAGCACCTGAAAACCCAAAGTCGTAATCTTCAAGGCCTCTGAGAATGGAATTTGAATTCTCAATGGACTCCACTACAGGCCTTGAGAAACGAGGCAGGTACAAAACCCAAATGCCTAAAACCAAAATTCTTTTCCAAATACTTAAGCTGTGGCTGAAGGTGTCCACAAGAATTAGGCATCTAGATATTCACCTAACTGCATAATTCAGTAACTCAGCACAGAGCAAGAGAACCCATTGGACCTGGAATCAGGAAAGCTACGGTTTCCTTTTATTTCTGCTCAACTGTATTTATATCATTTGTGTTTGGATTTGGCAAAATTCTTCTTGTAGTAAGTATAACCGCAGCAAACACCAACACGTAACATTCCTTCACAGGCAAGAACCCTTGAAAAAAACAAGGTGCTGGACCACTCCTGCTGTCCAGCACCTATTACCTACGATATATTATGCAGAAGGGCAAATTGGTGCGTTTTTTCCATTGAACGCCCTGCCAGTTTTCAAGTTGAAAACCCAGGTATTAGTGTAAAACAAGCACCTTCTGATCTTCAGCTCTAACCACTAACTAAGGGAAGTATTTTGGTGCAGCAGAATACTAAAGGAAGCATCTGAGGCTTGATGGCTCCAAAGCAGTTGGTAAGACACGAATGTGTATTTCGCAGCAAGACATACAGGAATTAAAGGCAAGCTCACCTTACACAACATTCTACAGCACGAAACCAGTGAAGGATTTCATCATGAAGGGTGCATAACTGAAGGCAGGAAAGAAAAACCTTCTCAGCATCACTGTACCAGCCTGCATCTGACAGGAATCCCCCTGGGGGACAAAAAAAAAAAATAAAAAATGTCAAGAACAAACAGAAATTTGAATAGCAAAACACGTTTTACGAGAAAAAGGCTTTGCTCAAGTCTTACAATAAGACTACTTATATTTCATTACCAATAAAGACAGGAATATTAGTTCAGTATTCCCCATGCCAAAATACAGAAAGTCATTGCTAGACAACTCTAGAAAAAAGGAGAAAAGAAGTGAGAGCAAAGGAAGCCTTTTTCTGTTTCACAAAACAGGGCTGACACAGTTTCATAAAACCGCATACTACGTACAGGAATCCTATCAAGGTTAAACCCTCCAGTCCTGAATTGAAGAGGATGAAATGTAAGAGTAGAAGAATCCTCCTTCAGCTGAGGATGACTTTTTGGAATTAACATGGTTTGCCTATATAGTCTTAGATACTAAAATCCAATACATTTTACTTAAGACACCAAGGAGTTTTCTAAATATTAAATTCAACAAAACACACTTGTTCTTTAAAAAGAAACCACAGACAGTAACATAAAAAAAAAAAGATCAGCATTAGTTAAACTGAAGGTTGCATGAAAGAAAGCATCGTATTTTAAACACCCATCATCACCAGTTACCTAAAACAAAACCAATCTGGATTGCTTTTTCTTTGACAGCAGAATCCGATTCTGCTATGTAGGAGCACCGTCTACTGAAAGAATAGGCCAGTACAGAAGCAACTTTTACTCCATGGTCCATCAAAGCCTGAAAACAGTGATGAAGCAGATGTCTGAAACAAAAGAAAACAGAATTTGATTACACATGAAGTTTTTAAAACACTGCAGTCAGTTGGCTCTGGAGTGCCATGAATTCAAATGAGTAGTGATTCAGAGAAATAACTCCAACCCTCTCTCAAAGCAAAACCAGATGAATACAAGCATAATTGACAGTCTCAAGGCTAATGGATTACAGTTGTTGGATTATCCAACAAATACAGTGAGTGTACACAAAGTTCTTTACAAGGACACCCTCCAGTGTAAGCAAAATACAAGCTGCCCACACAATATTAAAATTGGAAAACAACATTTTCAGCTAAAACTTAGAGGGGGAGGAAGCCTCAAATCCACCCTTACCCCACAACTCCCATAGAAATTGCGCATAAAGGAGCAGCGACCAACCCACGCATGCAAACAATGGGAGGGTGGTACGTCTAAAGACTCAAAGCTGGTTCTGGCTACAAAGAATCTGATCTAAAAAAGTCAAATTCTGAGCATAACACCACAAATTGGAACATTTAATGACAGGAAAACTCTTTAGACTGGGGCAATCCTATCAGCTTGATAACTCTTCACTTAGGATTTTTTACAACAGCAAGAAACAGATACTTTGACTGCCGTTGCTCAGGGACTGGCTGGGCATTGATCAGTTGGTGGTGAGCAATTGGGGTTTTTTTGCATCACTTGTTTTTCTTGTTCATGCTCCCCCACCCGTTGTTTTCCTTTTACCCCCTTTTTCCCCCCCCTACTACTCCCCCTCCCCCCCATTTCCTTTTCCCCTCTTTTTTTTTTTTTTGGAATTATCAAACTGTCTATCTCAACCCACGAGTCTTCATGCTTTTACCCTTCCAATTCTCTCTCCCACCCCTCTGGGTGATGGGGTGAGCGAGCGGCTGCGTGGTGCTTAGCTGCCTACTGGGGTTAAACCCCAACAGCAGACTGCAGAGCAATAACACGGAAAGCACTCTGGGGACCAAGTACCACAGATGACTTCATCAATTTACACAGAAGTTCTGACTGTTTCACTTTTTGAGACAACGAGAGAGAGAGAGAGAGAGGCTTCGTAACTTAGAAGTTCATCTGTAAATCTAAAGAAATATTCTTATGGTTAACAGACAGGCTAGTGAAACCAAGACAATTAGAGACGTCTTCCAAATTCAAAACCTAGATCAAGAGGTGAGAGCCAAAATGGGAATTATCAATACATTAAGATGCTTACCTTTTATCTAAAGCTCGTAGCACCTTTGCAAAAACTTCTAGTTCACAAAATTCACTACCCAGTTGGCATAAGCGGCCCTGTTGGTAAAGCTGAAAGAAAAATACAAATACATTTAGAAATTTAGGACAGGGAGTTCTTCTGGGAAATTTAGCTTAATAGTAAAGATGACTTATGATGAAATCTAGACTTCAAGGTCTTGAAACACAGAAGACCGTGAAGTCATAGTTCCACTACCTCCACACAGGAGAACAACTTAAGTGGTTCAAACCTGAGCACGCATGAGAACTCCGTAGCTGGTTTCAAGGTTTTTTTATCCACAAATCGATTTTTCAAATGTCTAGTATGTCCACCTGCATCATCAAAACACTGCAATACCTAAGCTATAAAGCCAAGACAAAACCAAAGAAACCCTAAAGCCAGCAAAAATTACAGTGACTAGCTGCTTTGACACCAAATGCTGTGACAATATTTTTTTTAAATGACACAGAATCTAGTATAAAACCATGCAAATAGATTTTATATTATATATAAATATATGTACATAAATAACCCCAAACCCACAAGTTCTGCAATGGATGACTCACCAATACCCAGAGCTAAAGATACGCGTGCGCCCTGACCCCATTAATACCTGGGCTCACCCAAGGAATTCCTGCATGAGTAAATGGGATAACTCAAGTGAATCTGTTGGTTTGCATTTATTAAAAGCAATGGCTAGCTTTATGCCCAAACTGATTTGTGTCTGCCAATAAGCCAATATATCCGTTGGCTTGTTCATAAAAACAACCCATGGAGACAGTTCTTTATGCAACGCATAGTTAAGTTGCAGAGCTTGCCACATTATGCTATAAATACCAAGGATTTCCATGGGTACAAAAGTGACTGTACAAATAGACGGCAGAAAAATCCATTGCAGGCTATTAATTCCTGGTATCTTGAAGCCCCTGAGCCCCAAATGACTGAAAGCAGGGTATGTAACCTAAGGAAGCACCACCGTACACTTGCCATAGTTATATGTACCATCACCAGCCTCTGCTAGAGGCACAGTACTCGATCACACAGGGCTGTTGCAGGACAACCATTTGTTATTTAATGTGTTCTAGAAAACCCCCCCCCCCCCTTATTTTTATTAATAATAATAATAAAGAAATCTTTCTGTGAGGCAGCAACTCCACGGGGAAAAAAAGAGAGAAGCCAGTAGCTCACATCTCACAGGCACTTCTCCCTAGAAGCTCCATCTTTCACCACAGGCCATTCAAGATCCATTTCTGTTCTTCTGTGGCATCTGTACTATGCGATGCAGGGATCGGACAACCACGGTTTACCAGGAGACACAAACCAGCCTATACACTCGAGTCTCATGCCATCACGGGCACGCAGGTAAAGCACTGCCACGCTGCACTCTTCCCAGTAATTCAGAAAAACTTTTGCAGAAAAGTTTCCAGTCCCTATGTTAAGACACTGGAGCGTACGCCATCCAAGATGGGCATATTCATACCTGCAGCCAGGCCCTCCGTGCTGTCCAAGCAGGTTTTACAGCTATGAGGAACATGGACACGAGGGGTGCACCTACTCTTATTATGCAAGCAAAATAAGGCCGAGAGAACATATTATTAGAGATGCTCAATTACGAACACAGATTTAATGATTTTTTTTAATGTTCTTCTCAGTTTTAATAATTTCTTAAAATACTTTTATTGAGAAGTGTCTTGTGTCTGGTTCACCTTTTTCTCCACGAACACTGGAAGCAGATGAATTAGTATTCAGAACAAAGCGCGTGAGAACAACTCCTCCAGCCAGAAATTTAGTTTTCATCAACTCTTCTTATAAAAGCACATGACATTGATTTTACAGCACAGCAAGTTTGTTATTTTAACAACAGAACCTACCAAAAAAACTTCAAAAATCCTTTGACCTAATAATGTCAATTGCCAGAAATGAATGTTTTTCTTTTAGTAGCCTATTTTGCTGAGGGGAAAAAAAAAAAAAAGAAAAAAAAAAAAAAAAAAAAGGAACTCTCTTAAAAAGCAGTGCAAGTTTGCATGCAAACAGCGCCGTGTCCCTGTACTTCAAAGAGATCAGAGTTTCTTCTGAAGCTATATTCTCGCTGGCAGGGAAAGAACATCCAGTCCGGGGTATTTAAAAACTGCAGTCACGGTTAAGCGTTCTCATTTTCTTCAAAACAGCTGTCTGATGATAACTGTTCTATAAAACCTAAAACATATTTTCCACAACCAAAACAAGAGGATTAAATCTTGTCTAGTATTCTAGGCCCAAAACTGAAAGTGGACATCTTCTCAATAATTGGTAAGATAATTTCTGGACAAAACAAAGACATATACCCAAGCTATTTTACCAGGACTTAAACCAATCAAAAGCACCATCACATGTTCAACATTTAGGCTTTCAATCAAGTACGTTATCATTTCCCCTTATCACCTTGCAGTGCTAGCGAGCTAAAAATCCCAGTTTACTCCTACGCTAGTTTACCGAACACTAACTGCAGCAAGGCTTTTAAAATTAATATATTTATGGAGTTACATAAACGCATTTGTAATATGCCCACTCTTACATGTGATTCTTAAATTCCTACTGAATAAATGCCCTG